CATGGTCTAGGGTGTTAGGGTTTAGGGTTTTAGGGTTTAGGGTTTTGGGGTTTAGGGTTTAGGGTCTAGGGTCTAGGGTTTAGGGTTTAGGGTTTAGAGTTTAGGGTTTAGGGTCAGGGTTTAGGGTACCAGGCGCCATCGAGAACGCTTACGGTTTGGAGGTTTTGGGCTTTCAGATTACCTGTTGGGGTTCTAGGGCTTAGAGTTGAGGGTTTCGGCTTGGGTATCCAAGAATTTCTGCTGCGATTGCTGCGACAATGAGCTTGAGGGTATATAGGCACTTCCTGGGGTACAGTCTTGAATAATGATAACAATAGCCGTATAGCAATATAGAAGTAATAATGGTTAGCATAGCAACAATTATAATCATAACCACAAGTAATTGGAACAAATACTGTTGAATAAACTACATTAAACAATAAAAACAAATACCAAATAATAAACAGCAAACATTAAACAGTAAATTAACAATCCGACATGATAAACCCGTTGCCAATAAAAACTACACAGCAAAACTAACTAAGAAACAATCAGTAGATAATAAAGAATAAGGATCCAATGGATAATGAGATAAGAGAATACATAAATAATTAGCAAATACCAAGTACTTAATCATATATATATATATATTTATACATATATGTCTATGAATAACAAATGAAATAATATTAGCAATAGTAACCATAGCAACAATAGTCATAATAATAATGACAATAGTTACAATAGTCATAAACATGACAATAATCACACTACTCTGCTTGGAGGATCTTTGAACCCACATTTCCTAAACCGTATGCTGCGCCCGATAAAGCCCTACACCGGAAAATCCAGAAACAAATTCATTATAGAAGTCTTAAGTGGAACCCGTGCGAATCCCTTTCGTACCTTGATAGAGCCCCTTCTAAACCACCTGATAAGCTACCCTCAAGACAACCCTAAACCCTGCAACTTAAACCCTATGCAAAACCGAGCCCCAAAACAACCCTAAACGCGAAACCCAAACAACAACCGAGCTTCGGCATCGAGAAGAACTTTCTCTTTGGGCTGATGTCGGAGATGCCCTTCACCTGGCTTTATATATATTTACACACACACACACATATATATATATATGTACATATGTGTATATCTATCTATCTATCTATCTATCTATCTATCTATCTGTCTATCTGTGTATCTGTCTATCTGTCTATCTATCGATCTATCTATCTAGCTAGCTAGCTATCTATTCTTGTTTGGAAAATACATATGTTCTAATATTATAATTGCTGTTATTGTTGTTATTGTTACTATGATGATGATGATTCTTATTACTGTTATAATTATATATATGTATATATATATATATATATGGTAGCCCCCCCCCCTGGACCAACCTCCGCCATGAAACGGATC